TTGGTATATGGTGAGAGGTACAGGTCTAGTTCATTCTTCTACATATGGATGTCCAGTTTTCCCAGCACCATTTATTGAAGAGGCAGCCTTTTCTCCAGTGTATGTTCTTGTTGCCTTTGTCAAAGATCACTTGGCTGTAAGTATGTGGGTTGATTTCTGGGTACTCTATTTTGTTCCATTGGTCTGAATGTCTATTTTTATGACAATATCATGCTACTTTGGTGATATAACTTTGTAATGTAATTTGAAATCAGACAGTGTTATGCCTCTGGCTTTATTTATTTTTTTGTTCAGGATTGCTTTGGCTATTCACGGTCTTTTGTTGTTCCATACAAATGTTAGAATTGTTTTTTCTATTTCTGTGAAGAATGTCATTGGTATTTTGAAGGGGATTACCTTGACCCTGTAGATCACTTGGGTAGAAAGGACATTTTCACAGTGTTAATTCTTCCAATCCAAGAGCATGGAATGTCTTTCCATCTTTTTGTATCCTCTTTAATTTCTTTCAGCGGTGAATTGTAGTTCTCATTGTATGGATCTTTCACCCCCTTGGTTAAATTGTTTCCTAGGTATTTTATGTTATTGGTTACTGTTGTTAATGGGCTTGCTTTCTTCATTTCTTTTTCTGCAAGCTCATTATTGGAGTATAAAAACATTACTGATTTTTGTGTGATTTTGTATCCTATAACTTTACTGAAATCATTTATCAACTCTAAGAGGTTGTTTTTGGAGAGTCTAGGTTTTTCTATATAAAGATCATATCATCTGCAAACAGTGGTAGTTTGACTTCATCTTTTCCAATCTGGACATTCTTTATTTCTTTTTTGTACCTGATCACTCTTAAGCTTTTCCTCATTCAGGATGATATTGGCGGTGGGTTTGTCATATATGGCTTTTATTGTTTTGAGAAACTTTCCTTCTGTACCTAATTTGCTGAGATTGTTTATCATGAAGGGATGATGAATTTTGTCAAGTGCTTTTTCTACATCTATTGAGATAGTCATGTGGTTTTTGTCCTTGATTTTGTTGATGTGGTGTATCACATTTATTGATTTGTGTATGTTGAACTATCTGTTCCTCCTGGGGTGAATCCTACTTGATCATGGTATATAAATTTTTTGATGTGTTGCTGTATTCTGATTGCTAATATGTTGTTGAGGAATTTTCCATCTATGTTCATCAGAGATGTTGGCCTGTAGTTTTCTTTTTTTGTTATTCTTTGTCTGGTTTTGGTATCAGGGTGATGCTGGCCTCATAGAATGAGATTGGGAGAATGGTCTCTGTTTCAAGTTTTTGGAATACTTTGAAGAGAATTGGTATTAATTCCTCTTTAAAGAATTAGTAGAATTCAGCAGGAAAGCTTGTCCTGGACTTTTCTTTGTTGGGAGACTGCTGATAACTGCTTCAGTCTTATTGCTTGTTACTGGTCTGTTCAGGTTTTCTATTTGTTCTTGGTTAAGTCTTGGTAGTTTTTAATGTGTCCAAAACTTTATCCATTTCCTCTAGGTTTTTGAATTTATTGGCATGTAGTTGTTTATGATAGTCTCTAATGATTTTGTATTTCTGTGGTATGGGTTGTAATGTCTCCTTTTTCATTTCTGATATTTGTTATTTGAGTCTTCTCTCCTCTTTTTTTAGTTAGTCTAGTAAGTGGTGTCTGTTTTGTTTATTTTCTTAAAAAACCAACTTTTTGTTTCATTGATCTTTCATGTCATTTGGGTATCTATTTCATTTAGTTCTGCTCTGATCTTAATTATTTATTTTCGTCTACTAATTTTGGGATTGAATTGTTCTTGTTTTTCTAGTTCTTTGAGGTTTAGCCTTAGGTTGTTTATTTGAAATCTTTTTGTTCTTTTGATATAAGTGTTTATTGCAGCAACCTTCCATGTTAGTACTGCTTTTGCAGTATCAAGTTTTGGTATGATGTATCTTTATTTTCATTAGTTTCAAGAAATTTTTTGATTTCCTGTTTAACTTTTTCTTGGTCCTTCAGGAGCCTGTTGTTTAATTTCCATGTATTTGTATAGTGTCCAGAGTTTTGCTTGTTAATCGTTTCTATTTTTAATCATTGTGGTCTGAAAAGATACTTGAAATGACTTCAATTTTTAAAATTTGTTGAGATTTGTTATATGACCTAACATGTAGTCAATCCTGGAGAATGCCCATGTGCTGATGAGAAGAACGTATATTCTGTAGTGGTTGAATGAAATGTTCTGTAGATATCTGCTAGGTCCAGTTGGTCTAAAGCATAGTTTAATTCGTGTGTTTCTCTGTTAATTTGTTGCTTAGATGGTCTGTCCAATGCTGAGAGAGTGGTGTTCAGGTCCCCAGCTATCATTGTACTGGGGTCTGTCTCTTTCTTTAGGTCTAATAGTGTTTGCTTTATATATCCGGTTGCATGTATGTTTATGATTGTTATGTCTTCTTGCTGGATAGATCCCTTTATCATTATAATGGCCTTCTTTGTCTCCTTTTTATGGTTTTTGGTTTAAAGTCTGTATAAGAATAACTATTCTTGCTTGATTTTGGTTTCTATTTGCATGGTATATCTTTTTCCATCCCTTACCTATTAGTCTGTTGTGTATCTTTATAGGTGATATGAGTCTCTTGAAGACAGCAATCCAGTCAGTTAGTCTGTGTCTTTTGAGTGGGAAGTTTAATCCATTTACATTTAGGGTTGTTATTGAAATGTTTTGTTTTACTCCTTGCATTTTATACATTTTTCTTTGAATATTTTAAATATTTTTTGTTCTTTTCTTCCCCTTTTATTTTGTCTTCGAAGTTTGTTGGTTTTTTGAGGTGGTAAGACTTAGTGTCTTTTTCTTTCTTGTTTGCATTTTTGTTCTATCAGTGGGTTTTGTTCTTTCTTGTGTATTCATGGTAGTGATTATCATTTTTCAGATTCCAGATTCAGGACTCCCTTATGGTTTCTTGCAGGGCTGGTCCTGTGGTGGTAAACTCTTGTAGTTTTTGTCTGGAAAATACACTATTTCTGCCTCATTTCTGAAGGATGGCCTTGCTGGGTATATATTATCAACTGGAAGTTTTTTTCTATTAGTATTTTGGATAATCATCCCATTTTCTTCTGGCCAGTAGAGTTTCTGTTGAGAAGTCTGATGTTAGTCTGATTGGAGCTCCCTTATAGGTGACTTGATGCTTCTTTCTTGCTTCTTTTAAGATTTTCTTTGCCTTTGAGCTTTGCCAGTTTGACTATAATGTGTCTTGGAGAGGATCTTTTTGGTTTGAATCTGTTTGGGGATCTTTGAGCCTTCTGGAGCTGAAGGTCTGTGTATCTCCCTATACCTTGGATGTTTTCCATTATTATTTCATTGAATGTGTTCTGTGTCTTTTCCTTTCTCCTTCCCTTCTGGAACACCCATAATTCAGATGTTTGTGTGCTTAAGGTTGTCTGCTAGTTGACAATCTCTTAGATTTTCTTCATTTTTTCAAATTATTGTTTCCATTTTTGTCCACCTGGGTCAGCTGACTGATTTTAAAAAGAGAAAAACAAAACATTAATTTGAACTTTTAAGTAGTAAAGTGATGAAAGGGACTAATAATTTAAAATTGTTTTACTTTGGGGATAAGGTATGTGACATTTCCCAGAAGTTTGTTTCGGGAAAGCCAGCTCTGTGGGGAGTAACGAGGAATTCCAGGGTAGAAGACCCTGAGGTGTGGTCGTTGTGATGTGTGAGCAGGTCCTGAACTGGGAGCCCCAGAGCTTCTCATGTGCTGATGTGTCTTATGACTATCCATGGTGGTGGGGAGTGTCTTCATGTATGTGTGTGTTCACAGTCCTCTCTTTCTGGCTGGTGCTGTTGTGGGGAACGCATGAGGCAGGGAAGTCCCTGTGGGGACTTCACCCGAGGTGACAATCATCAAACCAGGAGGTGCAGCCTCCAGCCTTCTCAACGGGCAGCTCTTTATTCTTACCAACTTTCCCAGGTGCCAGGTGGTCTTTTCCTTTACCCAGATGTTAAGAACCTGGTCTCACTGTTTCTATAGTGAATGCTGGAAATAATCTTTAGTTCTTGTCCAAAGGCTTCGTTTTACTACCAATTAATGGATGTATTATTTATTTATTTTTGGTGATAAAGAAGTAAGAGAAGATATCTTTTGTAGCCCTTTGTCCTGTGATCTTTCTCACAATTGCTTTATTTTTGTGGCCTATGGTAGTTCTTTCTCCAAATGTATAAACATCATTATTTATGTGTGAATGTTTTGCAGAAGAAAATTTTACGTTATTATCTGAGTGTTTCTTTTACCTCATAAGTCTCAGTCAGTTTTATTTAATACTGATTCTTGTCCTTTATTGTATGATATAATGACAACAGTGTATTAGTGCTATCATTAGAAGAAATGCAGATGAATCCTAAGGCATTGCTCACAGACATGCTAATACATATGCACTACTATATCACACTGTAAGGTTTTCCAATATTTTTGAGTCATTTTTTCAACATTCTTACATTTAACTTGAATTCTTGATGATGGCAGGAATCTACCTGAAAGGTCATTTGTTTATTCTTGCTTTATTTGGCACCAAAAGTGTTTTTCTAGCTCCTTTATTACCCGAACCAATTATTCATTAAAATGGTATTTGAGGTCTTTGAGTGAATTTCATTTAATTTATTGTTAAATATGTTCCAGCTTTATTTATTTAAAATCTTCAAATTGATTATTCATTTTTTTCTGTTAGACTGTAATCTTATTCATTTTCTTAAAGAAAGAATTATAAAGTGCTTTTGGTATGAGCCCCACCAAATCCCTTCGTCCACCACATGTTCTGACCTCACCTCCACACTGGGACATTACCAACACATCCCTGGAAGCCTGTGGTCACGCTCAGAGTTTTTGTCTCACTTGGAGTAATGCTATGTGTTAATTTTTTTTCTTTTAATTTAATTGCTTTGAATGGTATGGTTATTAATTTGGCTGAAGTTTTATAACTCTTGTTTTAGGAATAATTCACTAATTTTGGCTTGTTTGGTTGTGAATAGGGCCACAGAAGGATGGTGTGCTGCTCAGCATGGAGTGAAGACCACCCCATATGCAATCTGTTTACCTGCGGGTTTGACAGGCAAGCCATCGGTTGGAACATCAATATCCCTGCCTTGTTACAGGAGAAATAAGGGCGCCCTGTTCCTAGTTCCCTCGTTTGCCATGGACCTTTGCCTGGTGTGGGCTTTCTGAAGTTAATCAGCCATTTTTGTGAGAGTCTGACCCTGGGAAGGGTGCCTCGTATGTGCTCTTTCACGTTGTACCCTGCTTGCATGAAGTGTACAGAAAGACGTATGATCCTGTTTTTATTTTTGTCCTGTGTGTGTACATTGGCATCCTCTGGTCAGTAGAAGTGAATCTCACCTACCATGTAGCACAGAAGATGCTGTGAGTTGTTGACATTGGCAGATGGACAGTCGGGCATTACATTTGTGTGAATTAAATGTGAACCTGTGTACCTATTGTGAGGCACAAGCAGTCTGTTGCATTTTCTGGAATAATTGTACGTATCTACCTTGTACCGGGAAGATTGCAGAGTTGTGTTTGTGTTGGCTAATGAATGACAGGAAAGAGCAAAGATTTCATGTTTACTTCTGTATGACGTTTTAGCATGTGCTGTTTTGTAATTCAACCTCACTTCTGATTTCTGTTACAGTTCTGTAAATATAACCTGGATTTTAGAAGTTAAAAAAAATAGCACAGAATGTTGAGTTTGCAACGTTTGGAGAGTTTCTTTTGAAAAGAAAAGGTTTCTGTTCTTTTTATAGAAAATCATTTCAATCTCCTGAGGTCTCGTACTAGCAAATTCTAAAGTATAATGATTCTAATCACTAATTTCAGATATTAAGCAAAATGTAAAGCACTTTAGTTTATAGCTATGGTTATAAACAGTTTTTAGAAGGTTCAAATGACTTATCCACTAAATGTGACTTGACCTTTATATACGAAGGCCTTGCTACCTGAAAACAAACTTTTATTTCCTGTCTACATCTTTGGTTTGCATATTTCTAGATGGATTCACTTCCTTGGTGGTATTTGAGAGCCAACAATGCACATGAATGAGTACTACCTCAAAAACAAATATTTGGAAAACTTTGGAGTCTCACAGTTGCCTAGCTGAAGCACTTTTGATTTGTAGTTGGAATACCGAGCTCAATTCAGAACGAAGACAGATAGTTGTATCAAATGTATCCTGGAGGTAGAAGCTCCTTCAGTTAGGCTGGTCAGGTGATAACCTTAAGAAATAGCGGGAAGTAGCAAGATGCTGTTGTCATGAGTAGCTGGGATACCTCTCAGTGCCAATCCTACTACTGCTTGAGTGAGCCTGTTGCTCTTGCCTTCTCAGAAATTGCTGTTCATCTGATATTTGTAAGTTAATGTTTCTTGTTGAGTACAGTTTTGATAAAGAGACATCTCAGTTACTGCTCCTCATATTTTCAGTTCTTTAAATACATGTTTGCAAGCTGATCACGTGGAGAGACATAGGAGGGTAATATCTAAAACCTCCATGGTGCCCTCCCCAGTCCCATGATTTCACTTGTTTTGTGGGGATGTGGGCAGCACCTGAGCTGCTGCCTGATAGGTAGCCATTTGGTAAGATGTAGTGCTGTCCCTCGGAGAGCTTACAGAGTGAGAAGTGCCTCATTGTTGGCACCGTTTACCTGGGTCCTGCAGGAGCTGATCTTAGGAAGTTCAGATCTAAGCCATGCAGAATGCTTCCGCAGTGGCTGACAGCTGGTAGAGAAGGAGGGACCCAGGGATATCCCACGACAACGTAGTACAGGGGGGAGGTTGCTGACTGTAGGACAAACAACAAGTGCTTTGGAGTAATTTGATTTTTGAAGCTCAAAAATTTGCCGCATTTTTAAAGTCCAACTCTTTTACCAGACTGCACTTTTTGAGAATTGGAGTCAGGCTGGTCTCTATGGTTGATCAGGATTTTACGTTTCAACTCCTGCTGTCTGGAGCACAGTTTGCTCAATGGATCCTGTATGCTATCATGGTATTAGCTGTGGCCTGGCTTTGCCTTACAGCGAGAGGCCTGATGGCCACACCCTCCCATTCCTGCACCTGACTCCAGTACCCGACTCCAGTGCAAGTGGTGTGTGCTGAGTTCTCGGGTTCCTCATATTTTAATTTGAAAGTCTAGGTGTCTTAGAGTGATTGTTAGGAACATTGAAAAATGCTTACAGATAGCCAAATCAAACTTAAGAACCAGATCTCTACCGGAGTAAAAAGTTTTGAAGCTTTTAAAAATATATATATATTCATGATGGCCATTTAGGTCTGTGCAGTCTAGTGGCCTTCACTGCCAGTAGCTGCTCTTCTTCTCATGAACTGGAGGGCCCCCCATCCCAGACACCAGAAATGAGGCTCCTCAACTCATTCTGTGAGAGTAGGAGACCACAGGGTGCTCGGGCAGACTTCTGGGGAGCAGGGCAGCACTGACTGTCAACCACTGTGTCGCCTGTCAGTGTGACCTCACCCCACTGCTGCTGTGGCCTAGTGTTGGTCCAGAGTCACAAAGGAGATTGGGGATAGTGTGCACGTGTGTATGTGTGTGTATGTGCATGTGTGGCTAGCATTATCATGTTGTCAACTACATGTAATCTCATTTGAATGAGTGTTTGGAAATGGGGATGGTTTTGTTCTCTGTGCTGATATGTCCAGAATTTCATTTAATAATGGAAGGAAAACAGTGGTTACTGAACGACGTGTGTTGACATAGAATCTCGTATAAGAGAGATGCTGTAAAAGGCAACACTGCACATCAGTGTCTGTAGAGTCAAAAATTCTGTACATATTTTGGAATCTGAAGAATTCTGTGTAAATCATTTGTTACTTAAATCTGTGAAAAATAAGTTTCTTTGGAGGAAAAATTATGCATTTGTAACTGTTATATGGAATCACTTGTTTTTATTGTATTGATGTAATTGTTTTTAAGTGTTCAGTGTCTTCATTGTAATATGAAATTCATTAAAACATTCATATTCCATGATTACTATTATAAAAGTTTTATGTTATTGGGGTCTCTTACTATTTTTATTTTTTTTGTGTTTTGCTTTGGTGGAACATTGTTAACAGCTGTATAAACATCAAAGTGACCTACCAGTTTACAGGGATGACACAGATGGCCCTTGATTTACAATGGGTATGTCCCGATAGAGCTATTGTGAGTTGAAAATGCATTTAGTACACCTAACCTGCCAAACATTGGAGCTCAGTCTAGCCTACCTTAAATGTGCTCAACTCTTATGTGAGCCTACAATTGGGCAAAATTGTCTAACACAAAGCTTATTTTATGAAAAAGTTGAATACCTTGTAATTTCTTGACTCCCATCTGAAAGTGAGAAACAGAATGGTGGCATGGTACTCGAAGCACAGTTTCTACTGAATGCATGTGGTTTTTGCACCAACATAAAGTTGAAAAATAGAAAATCCAACCATTGTAAGTCAGGGATTGTTTGTATTTCCCATTTGAAACATTTTAAGTTTAGACTTAAAAATCAGTTGTGTTTCCTATCCATTTCTTGTGCAAACATTAAATGATTACATAATTATGCTTCTTCATCCCCCACCACCATCCCAGAAGTTTCTGAGAGAGTTAGTAATTAGACATAACACAAGTTTTTGGTAAAGTTCCTCAGGATCATAAAGTGCTTGTGCTGTTCTTATGACAGTAAGCTTGTTTAAAGTAAAAAGATTACAGCTGTAGAAAGCAGGCACTTTTTCTGTGGAGAGTGCAAGTCAGCACTGGTAGTTACTGCTTGTGTCTCGCTACACGCTGGTCCAAGTGAACAAAGCTTTGTGGCTGGTAGAGCAACCTCAGAAGGCATCAAGTACCTCTGGACTGTTAGTGGCTCCTTTTGTGGGCTAGTAAAGCTCACTGTCTAAATTGCACAGGCATCAGAGTACATTCGGACCCACAACGGTAGAAATATCTCCACTGATTACTTAACTTTGACTTTACTCCTTAAGTAGTGATTATTGTCAGAATTTTATAGTTACATCTTCAGTAGACTTAAAGGTTCATGCTGTATTAGTATGAAGAGTTAAGAAGAAAAGACTTGCATTGCTATGGTTTCTTTATTTTTTTAACATTCTAAGATGTGGAGCAGTTGTGGGTAGAGAGAGAGGGGAAGGGGGAGGAGAATAGGGTGGGAAGAGGAGGAAGGAGGGGGTGTAGTTGAGGCCCGAGGCACCCACCTCATTCCAGCAGGGGACCCAGGGGGCTTCTGAAGGTCGCTGTCATCACTGGGCTGGATGCAGATGTTTGGGGGGGCATGGCTGAGGCCATTGGCCCCCCACCGCACTGGCTTGGGAGCCCAGGGTGCTTCCGGCGGTGGCTTGGTGGTCATTGCTGGGCTGGGTGAAGATGTTGGGGGTGTGGCTGAGGCCCTCAGCCCTGCCCCTATCCTGGCTCAGAAGCTCAGGGGGCTTCTGGTACTTCTAGGTTACAAAACTTATAAAAGTGTTCTTTGGTGGTGTTAGACTTTTACTGGTAATATCAGAACTTTGTCTCTGATCTGTGGGTTTTTTGTTTTTCTTCAGCTCTGTGTGTTGGATTGTTAGTTACACCCACAACTTAAAACTCTGCATTGAAACTAATTTGTTGTCCTTTGGTTACTTCTAAAATGGGGGAACTTCCTAAGGGAACCAGCACTTGAGCTGTGTGGTTGAGCTGAATTGCTGCTTTGCTGCTGATTCTCTGGGGAAGGCTTTTTGTGCAGCTCAGGTTTTAATTGTTGACCTTGTAAGCACCTCTGGGTCTTGTGAGATCCGGTACATCTGGGTTGTATGGAAATTCTGGTCTGGGCCTGAGTCTTTTCAACAAACTGCACCCCCTGCAGTTCTATATTCCTGACCAGTCTCCACTGAGTGGGTCTGTACTGATTGGAGGGAAGATCAGCTGTCCTTGCTGTGCCCCAGTGTTCCCCTGGTGGGCCTGTCTCCCCCACCGCCCGCACTCCAAACACGTCCCATGGTATGGGCCATGTGCCAGTCCCTTGTGATGACTCACTGGCCTCTGAGTGGCTCCTTTTTTCAGTTGTTCTGGCTCCTCACTCTTATGTGGGTCCATGGGAACCTTGTTAGTGGTCTTGCTGGCCTAATGGCTACCAAGGCCCACTTCTCCCCTGCCACCTCCAAGTAACTTCATACAAAGGGCCACAGATGTGGCTTTTGCCGGCTCTTGCTCCATGTCCTCACCAGGGCCAGCCTTGAAGCAGCTGGAGCTCGAAATGGTGGGAGTGATCCTTTCTTTCTCTCGTCGTGGCTTCTCCTGCCTTCATGTACTCTGTAGGTCTCTCCTCCTCTTCCCCTGAGCTCTAGCGGCCCCAGCTTGGCTGTCGTTGCTTTTTCCATTGCTATGATTTCATCAAATGCTGCTAGGACGTCTGTCTCCCTCACTATCCATAGATTTTCTGTTGGTTTTCCTCTAATAATTCAGAATTTTAAAAAGTTATTCCAAAAATTGGGAACATCTCAATTGTTATATACAACCTATAACATGTGTAGTCCATATTACAGCAGGAAGAAGCTGAAAATGAAATCAAATTCTTGTATAATTTGAAATTAATTTTATTAAAATATCTTTTGTTAAGCCGCTTTTGGTCAAAATGAAAATAGACTAAACAGATGTTTGGAGCTGTGGGAGGTCTGTGTGAAGGACAAAGGACAGGGTTCCTTGGTGACCTGGTTGTGATTTGTGGGCTGAGAGAAAGATGGGGGAGCTACTGCAGGTGATGTGGTCAAGGAGGCTTCTCTGAGGAGGGGACATTGGAGCAGAAACCTGGAGGTTAGCGAGGGTATCCAGGAAATGGCAGCAGCAACTCCAGGCAAAGCAGTGGAAAGAGCTTGGCACGTTTTGCGAAAGCAGTGTGTCTGAGTGAAGGGCGGCTGGCCCGGGATGAGGCACGCACAGTCTCACTCTGAGTGTGGATTTCATTCTGTGTGCACCGACTTCTTGGTGGAGGTGGCTGGACAGGGTGGAGATGAGAAGCCGTGCTATTAGCCAGGGCAGGGTGCTGGGCAGTGTGGAGAGAGAACAGATTTGAGATCTATTTTTGAGTTAAAGCAGGCAGTCCTTGCTAGCTGGGAGGGTGCTTGATTCTATAGTTGAGCAGACATCTGTGAAGACTGTTACTGCCGAGCCTATGGCTTCGACTGTGCATGCATTCCTTAGTGCACCCAAGAGATGTTTCAAGCATGGACATCCTGAATGCGTAAGGATTTTTCCCTTAAAAAAGATGAACAGTGTGTTAAGAAATTTCAGTCCCAATTTAGAGACATTAAGTTGCCTGAGCTCAGTTCTCCTGCCTGTGCAATAGGGGTTTTGGCACCACAACTTCACAAACCACACCCTCCCCAAGCCAGGCACTGTGTGCTTCCCTCACCAGCTGGGTGCTCTCAGAGGCATCACTTTCTGTCACGTGACTCTTTGCCTAGGCATAATTGTTTGGTTGGGGTGGGAGGGTGTGCCTAACACAAACTGGCTGCAGGTGGTCTCTAGAGAGGGGTTACTCTTGGGGCAGAGACATGTGCAGGTGGTCTCTGGAGAGGGCATGTTTGCAGGACTGTGGCAGTTAGGAAAGCACCAGTGATGAGACTAGCTTCAGCCTGATTTATGGGATATTAGGAGCAAGAATCGCACCATATTAAGGCACGAGGGTCAGATTCATCCTCTCTGTCAGTCAGCCAATGGTGTGTGCTGCCCCTGGTTGTGGGAGATGCGCTGGCTTCTATTTGGCTGAGAGCAGCTGTCTGGTGAAGGGGTAGCTGTGAGCCACTTGAAACCATCCCCAGTAGAAGCTGACGACTGGGTGCACCTGTCTTTACAGGAATCTAGGTTGAGTGAAAACATGTCCACCACAGCCCACTGTGTGTCCTGCTCAGACCACTCCTTTCTCCCACTGAATTCTCTTCTGAGAAGCAGGCACAGCTTCTCAAGGATTCTCACTGGTCACAGTTGTGGGAAAATTTCTAGAGAACTGGCTAGTGGGACGTACGACACCTTCTCACTGGTGCAGTCTGTCTTGATACCCCAATCTCCCTCTTCCATCACTGACTCCAGGTTCCCTCCCCCATGGCCAACACGTCTGCCTGTGGTGTTGGTGCTGCGAGTGGGACGGCACCATTGGCACCAGCTAGACTTGCCTGATAGGGAGATTAGAGGCTCATCCCTGTGGGGTCTGAGCCCCTTGTCCCCACGCTCTTCTCCAGCTCTGGTTGCTGTACTAGTCTGTTACAGTCAGAACTGGGCCTGGATTCACCTGAGTGGTCCTCCACCATGACCCATCTGGTTTTTGCAGAGACCAGGCTGGTGAATCAAGGGGGAGCATGAGGGGACCTCCTCTCCTGCGTCACTCATCTTTAGTGTGGCTCTAATTCTGCCGTCCTCTCAGACTTGTGATATGGTTTGATTCACTATCTTGTTCTAAGAGGTGCAGTTTCTGGCACTCCCACCTGGCATTCCCTATTAAAACACCTCTAACTCTACAGATCAAGGAACCAATCTGAGGGTTCTGCCAACATCTAGAATCTCTAAGAATGTTTGTTGATTATACATGTGGGAACCAGGAAAGACCCTGATGGTGTCTGTGGCTCCAGGTGATCCTGTGAGGTGGACCTGAGACACAGGGCTCCATTTATCACCTGACGCCACAGGCCTCTACTCTGGTGGGGGGCCTGTCATGGTGCATTTATTCCCTGGAGTATTGGAATCAATGTGGACATCATTTGCAGTGGGCCCCAAGAGGACTAGACGTTTCCCTGTCCCCTGTGTGTGGTTGCCCCACCATTGTGGCTCTAAGGTCACGCTGGGGAGGGCCTGGGGGCCCTGCTCCACCACCTAGATTCTGCGGGTCTTCCCTCCAACTGGCGGGTTCCCCAGGTCTCTCCTTAGGGTGGCTGGCCTCAGGCTTCTGTTTGTCCATTCTTCATTTGTTTTGATTTTGGGTGTGTTGAGTGACACCCTTGCTGACCGACCATCTATCTTGCCCTGTGAAC